TATTTCTCTCTCTATCTGTATCGGCCATGTCTACTCTAAAAGGTTTTCATTAAAAATAATAAACATGTTTTTGTTTCCTTTTTAGGCCTACCGTCCACACAGAAATGGCGTTTTTAGGAAATGAAAATGTATCTATTTGCTATGTATCTATAAAAGCTGTCCAAAGTGGATAAATTTGAAAACTGTGTTGAAACCATTGTAAAAGGTTGAAAATTGAGGTTTTTAAAAACGTGAATGCATTTTAGTCATGTGATGAAGATATGACCACTGAAGCTATGCAGGGCTGTGCCCAGTGAGTCTCTGGATGAGAGACCACATGGGAAAGCTTGGTTTTTAACGGAAGTGGTGTTAGTAAGACCAGCAGGCACTCAACCTGCAGTCTGTGTGGTTCCTAATGCCCCAGTATAGTGAAGGGGACTCTATACTGCTCATTGAGCGCTGTCTTTCAGATGAGACGTTAAACCGAGGTCCTGACTCTCTGTGGTTGTTAAAAATCCCAGGATGTCCTTTGAAAAACGGAGTAAAGATTTAACCCCCGCATCCTGGCGAATTTGCCCACTGGCCTCTGTCCATCATAGCCTCCTAACCATCCCCATACCATAATTGGCTTTATCACACAGTCTACTCTCCACCAATCAGCTGGTGTGTGGTGTGCCGTCTGGCACAATATAGCTGTCATCGCATCATCCAGGTGGATGCTGCACACTGGTAGTGGATGAGGAGAACATTCTGCAACAATGTTTCAAAGAGATGGAAAGTGTATGACATGTATCCGGATTAGTGTAGGTGTAGCATTATTTCGTGACATTTACATTGAACTAAACTGAATCAGGGGCAACGCGGTGGTGCAGTAGGTAGTGCTATCGAAGGTTCACATTTTTGTGTGGAGTTTGCATGTTCTCGCCACAACTTTTTCCACTCATAAATGTTCATGAAAGTCATTGTGCTGCATGTTTGCTGAAGGTGCAGCTGACGTGCAGTGAAGGGTTTGCGTCTTTAATAATCTACAACAGTTTGCTTTCATTGAAAAGTAATGATGATTAATAAATCCATATTAAAAAGTCCCTCAAAAGAGAAGTTGCACCTTCAGTTTAGGGCTCAGGTGCGCTTTGCACTCACACTACAATCGTACCCACCAAAATCCAACCGAACCACGCTTTGGCACACCTCTTTCAACCTGGTCAGGACCAGCCAAATGAACCATGCCTGGGCCCGATTCAGAGCACTCACACTTGTCAAACAAACTGGGAAACATGCCTTGGCACGGTTCTGATAGCATAGTGTGAGTGCACCTAACTAGAAATACACCAGCATTCTACCACTACTCTCCTGTCTGCCTGATTTTCTGAAACTGTCTACAATCTGAAATAATGTTTTCTTTATCAAGTTAAAGCTGCTTTGGCACAATCTTGTAAAAAAAAAAATAAAATAGCCTCAATGCTTTTCAAATTTCCATATTAAAGTCAAATTGTAAAATTTACAAAAGAAAGTGCTAACTGTAATGCCTTTTTGTAATGCCTGATATATTCAGAGTTGACAAGGAAAGAGAAACTGACACAAAATGGTAATAAACAACACAGAAAATAGATGTTTTATGCAAATCAATATGCTGTTATTTAACGTATTAAACACACACACAAAAAAAAAAAAACCTATTGACTTAATTATTTCATCATAAGTAAAGCTAATTGTATGGTTCAGAAGGTGGAGACAGTCAAAAATATATTATATTCATATTGTTAATATATTGTATAGTTTAAATACACAAACATATCATTTTAGAGGTACCATTAAACAATTTGTGGCATTATTCAAAAATAAATAATAGAAATTTTATCTTGAAGATGCAAAAAGTGCCTGCAATTCTAGAATCACTCATGTGTTTGTGTGTGTGTTTGTGTTGATCATGATTCATTATTTCTTGATGGTAGCTGATTTAGTAGAAAAACTCAGTTCTGTCTTTAGCATGTGCATCTTGCTTAAATTTGAGCATTTAAATGATTTAAACCACAATTTAAACATCAGAAAGCCTTTACCGCAGAGAAACGTGTCATGGACTCAAGAGCACAAACATCCAGGCAGGTTATTAAGCTCCAAAAACAGAAACTTCCTCTGAGAAATTAAACACTGAAAACTCATTAGGAATTAAAGCAGCAGTCTCAGCCTTTATTATTTGTTCCTCTGCTCAACTCTCAAGCAGGAAAGCAGCAAGCGATGTGTCTGCTTCTACGATAGCTTCGGAAAAGGCTGGTCGTGTTACCTGTGAGAAACTCCTCAGAGCATCTCTATCACAGATGTTCAGAGCCTTTCCTACCGGCTGTTCCTCCCCAGGTTATTTCAACTTATGCCAACGAAAGCCCCCAAACTAGGCCCTCACAAACAACTTTCTGTCACCAAATGTTTCTGTTTCCTAGTAAAACTTTTGAACAATACTCTATGGAGCTGAAGCCCGAGCAAGATGATGACTCACTGTATTACATTCTCCAACAGTAGAACACCTGGTATTATACAGCACCATACAGAAAAGAAAAGCTGTATAGCATTTTCTATTAAAATGCCTTTGTGCTTCTCATTTGCAGCATAAAAAGACTGTTAGATTTTTTATAGCATATGACAACTTGCCAGATCACACAAGATGCTGTACTACTGGATAAAGTAAAGGATTTTGTTTTGACACTAGTAGAAATGTGTAATCTTTTAGCACATTTACAGGTATATCACATTTATATTAGGGTTGTCTGCTGGCCAAGAGAAATATCACTGTGGCTGCTATAAAACACATTTGTATTCACCTTCTTTAAGGGATAGTTCAACCCAAAGGTTTAATGTACTCACTATTTACTCACCCTTAACTTGTTCCAACACTGTTTGAGTTTCTTACTTCTGTTGAACACAAAAGAAGATAATTTTTTAACAAAGCTGAAAAATTGTAACCATTGATTTCCTTCGTATGTCTTTTTCCCTACAATGGATATCAATAATAACAGGTTTTTAAACTTTCTTCAAAATACATTCTTTTTGTGTTGAACAGGTTTGAAACAAAGAGAAATAAAGGATGAGTAAATTAGGAATTTTCAGTTTTGGGTGAACTATCCCTTCAAATGACTCATGAATTGACAAATCAAAATACAATAGAAACATCAGTTTCAGAACTCAAAACTTATTTTTAGTTTTAAAACAGCTTACACTGAAGAACGTCTGCCACGATGAGAGCTTGTGGAATGCGGCTTTATTAGACAACAGTGTCTCTAAACTCCACCTCCACTGAAGATCAACACTTACTTCTACATCCCTACCTGATTAACTCCACCCATTGATTCACACTGTGATATGTAAACAACGAGGGAGGTAAATGCAGGGGTCTGTTCTTTGTATGTGGCTTACTCAATTAGCTGCATTTGCCTATTGATGATTTGACATGATCCAGGATCGTTTTGTTTATCTCCAGTAGAAAAAATATTAACAGACACACTGAATTTTTCCTTGCCCTGTAAAACATAGTTTATATATATATATATATATATATACATATATATATACAACTTATGCAAAGGTCACTTCGAAACAACAGTACAAATCGTGTATAGTAATCGGCATGCACAATATTCAACTGTTTTTTTTTTTTTTAAGGATTAATAGTGTTTGCAGTCATGCAAGTGTTTTTACAGCTAATATGACAGTGATTTGAGGCTCGCAAAAGTTGCAGACACCTTTACCGATATCAAAATGCTTTTTTGACGCAAAATTAATTTAACCAGCAAGTTATTCTGTATGCTGATTAAGAAACCTAAATAGGCCTGGACTACTAAAAAAAGAACATCTGCTCTAAATGTAAAACTAAACTAATTGCTAAATACTCGACACATGAAAGTGTAAAGCCTGCAACCAGAGTTGGAAAGTTATTGCATATCAGATTTAACACACAGTTTACTACAAATTATGTAATTTTGCTCACATGGATAATTGAATATTAATCAGATGATGTCATTACCCTGCTGTGCCATCAGGCAATCGTTGGATTGCTGACCATGATTTTGAAGATTGACAGATTTGTCTTTCAAAACACACGCAGCACTCTCAGATCAGTTCCAAAGATTTTAATCTGATTCGCGAACTTGTTTGAAGAACCAAATTCGCCAGAGGTCAGTTATCAAGATTAAAAGATCCAGGATCTGACAAATCAACTTCGATCATTTAAGCTAGATACAAAGAACAGACCCCTGGTCTAAGCAGAAACCAACTGACAAAGGATCAGAAAACAACTATTTGTGGTCAGGTGCCAAGCTGAGAAAAAATACATCTGCATTGTATTTGCTTTTCTTAAGATTGGGGAATGTTGAATAAACTTGGTGATTTATGCAATTATACTGCAGCTTTGTTTATAACTAAAGCATAATTCAAAAATATGAAAAGTACTGTTTGTTAAAAAATGTTTAACCTAAATCAGCAGCATCCATCTATCTATGAATATACCTGCCAACATTCCAGTTTTTCTGGGGGGTCTCGGAGGGGTGGGGGGGTGGCAAAGTGGTTTGTGATCGGAGGGGGTATGTATGTAAATTAGCTGCAGCCCTGACACACAATTTATTTCTGGAGAAAATTAAAAAGCACTGCAGTCTTTGGGTGTTTATGTTTGTCTGAGAAATGTGTATATTCCATACAAAGTTTGAAACTGATCGGTCAGTTCTTGTCACATGACTCGCGGTGCGCTCGTGGCATTTTTAAAAGAGACGTTTTCCACTAAGTGTGCCTGGAAAGTGCAAACACATCTCGTCACAAATCAAAGCAGTGGCCATTTACTGTGAATCTACAATCTGCCATGCCTATTCAAAGGTTGTGTTCTGATTGCAAAAATCTTGATACAATCAACAGTAAAAAAAAAAAAAAAAAAAGGCAAAAAAACTGGCAACTCCATACACATTTAATATATTCCAAAAATATCAATTAATTACTTAAGTTAATACATAATCTGCTCGGTGAAAGAGATGTTTGAAACCTACCATGATGGTTCCTCCTGTTTGTGTTCGTAATGGTCTCAGCACTTTGCGCTGTACCAGGAAGTTAGGCAGAAACAGGAGAGGTGGGATTTCTGTGATAGTGGCAACCACCAGAGACCACTGATATAAAAAAAGAAATCACATTCACATTTTTAAGATAAGTACTCTTGATACTGCAAGTCTAAACTACAATCACACTTATTTCTAAACCATATATTCATCATTAACATATAATTTCTTCCTACATTATTTAAGATGATTTTTAAAAAAAGGGGATGATGCTGTAAATAAATCAGGTTTGAAATCTATTGTAGCTCTAGGAGTAAACTATACATTATACGATACAGATGGTACTTTAGTGGAAATGCAAACTGGTGGCAAAATGTTAAAGCAGAGTGAATAGTCTGGACTAATGCATATTACAGAGTAAAAGAAAAGTGTGAAGCAAGTACAAAGGATTCGGTCACAGTAGAACTCAGATACCTCTCTGGAGCCCTCCAAGATAGCGTTCTGCATGCATTAAGGGAAAGAGAGAATACATACACAGAGCCGATTTAAAGGGTGACCAAGTAGCTGTACGATAAGCCTTTATAAGTGTGCAGAGAGAAGCAGGAGTCAGCTACAGTGTAAGCCAAACACTAAAGCAACACATGCATATCAACAAATATTTATTCATGTCCATTCTGGGAATAGAGCAGCTGAACTTAATGGAATAAGCTAAACCCAAAAATGAAAAGAGTCATTATTTGCTCACCCTTAAGTCTTTCTAAATCCACATGCTGCTTTTGTTTGTTTTAAATGTGCATGCTTTTTTTCTTTGCATACAACAAGTGCACAGCAGTTACATGTTAAAAAGGCAGAAAATATTACTCTGTTGATTCTTGCAAGGGATGGGTAAAAATACAGATTTTTCCAAATCATTCAATATTTATCGATTCTTTGCAAGCAGTAAAGGTAGAATAAGTCATCTTTTACCTGGTTGTACAGTTTCAATTTGATAATATAAAAAGATCATGCAGTACAAAATAACATCAATTTTTATAAACATTTTTTCCAGTAATGTACTGGTGTGCTTCAAATTCATAAACAAATGATTCTTTGTTCCTTATAGTAAATCAGGCACATGATTAGCAGAGGACAAAAAAGGAGGAGGACAAGACCATACTGTATCTATATATAGACATAAGAATTATATATATATATATATATAATACATAATATTCTTTATATTAATATTTGGTATTAGCAGCACCATTTAAGTTTCATTTTTTTTTTGTTTTATCAGTTTAAGTGTTTAGCAGTTGATAGTGACCCAAGTAATATTTAATAGGTTTGTACTTTGTACCTCAATGTCGGAACAGATCCACACATGGGCGCTAGATGACGCCACTAATTCAGTTAGTTCTCTTGTGTCCACAGAATATATTTACCCTGTTATTTAGTTGACTCTTTATTCAAACGTGATAAATAAACTGTTAGTCAGTCAACAATTCGAACTGTAAAGATATGAAGTCCAGTTGAATTGAGTAGCCTAATATACTTTAACATTCCACACTGAAAAAAGTAATCGTAGATCGCTAATAATCACTTTCCTTTGGCTTAGTCCCTGTTTTTAAAATTTTAATTAATTATAAAATATATTTTCATACATTTATAATGTCGTCTAAATGTATGATACTTTTAGGTATTAAATTTGAGGTGCTAGCACTGAGTTAATAAAGTCATAAGAACAGATGACTTGCAGAGAATAATAACAAATGTGCGTCCTGGCTTTATTTATAATGTACACAGAGTGCACATGGTTGTGACACGCAATTGCCCACCCCCCAAAACATTGAAGTCCACATAAATATTCTGACTAGCATATTTTTGGGTCAATCAAAATCAAAATAAATTATGCAATTTTTAGCGTGCCTCAAAGAGGTGAGTGGGCTTGACAAACCACTTGCAGAAAACAAAATTTTTTCATCTCTCTGTCATTTTAACAGACAGTAGTTGGACCAGTAATGCATGTTTAAAGGCCACTTTCTTATGATCACTCAAAAAATTGTGAATTTATGAAGTGAGCTTTACACAGGTGAGTGGGCTTGCTTGACAAACCACCTAAACACTCTTCTCCCTAAAACAAAAAAAACCCACCCAACTCTAGCAATTAATTCTAAATTGAATATCTAGCATAAACAGTTGCTTTGTATAATTAGCACTTCTTGTGTGTATTGCCTCTTGTTGTTGAATTGCTGAATGCCTTCTCAGTTGTAAGCTGCTTTAGACAAAAACGTCTGCTAAATGACTAAATGTAAAATATACACATATTTAATACCAAAATATGTTACATTTTGAGACCTGTTTTCAAAAGCTTGTATCTTCAGGGCCCTAAAATGACATTATAATGTAAATGAATGACAAAATAGCATACGGTTGATAATGGCATTGGAAAAATATCCTCATAAAGCAATGTAGTCAGTTTCCTAAACGGATGACTCTTAAAGACCGTGGCCATTACAGACATCATCACATGTCAGCCCATGTTTTCTGTGGTTCCTGGGAATTTCATCTCATTTAAATCCTGGAGTCCATGAAAGTGGATAATTGTCATCCAATCAAACGGCGGTAAGGCTCGACATGTTGTAATTTGAAAAAAATCCACTACACTGAAAATCAGCATGGCATAACTACAGACATAGCCATAAGCCACATTTACAATGTTTTTATTCATATTTTATGATATATTTGCCACTATTTCATAGAATGTTTGTAAAAAAAGAGGGATTGCACTTACAAATTTAAATTTAAATTCTTTTGTAACATTGCAAGCTTCAGATCTGGATTTTTTCAAATACTGTACGTCTATCAATTGGAATGTACAATGGGCTCAAGATCTGTTACTGAAATTAAATCTCCAGTAATGCTGATTGAAAAAAAAAAAAAAAAAAAAAAAAAAATTATATAT